TGCTGCGCGACGTGTGCGACAACGTCCTGGGAGACAAGCGCGTTAAGCTGGACAAGCGCATTGAACGGGCGAACGCGATGCTCCTGGCGGGTAATATCTACTCTATGGTATGTTTTTTTTGATCCCGCCCATGCAGCTTTCTCTAACCCGTACAGGCCGAACGCGATCCGGACGAGGAGGGTGACTACATGGCGTTCGAGCAGTTGATGACGGATGCGATGCAGAAGAAGGGCAAGGAGGAGAAGAAGAAGAAGAAGGGCAAGAAGCACGACCATGACCATGATCACCACGAGCATGGAGAGCACCACGATGCGGAATAAGAGACTGTTGTCTCGTCCTCATTGATCTGTTTTGTCCCTTCCTTGCTCGCCATCATGTATCATTGGATAAGTGATTCGTGCGTGGGCATTTGCTTCCTGTAGCGATTCGTGTTGGAGAATGTGCATGTTACCGTACAGTTAATTAGAACAATCCTGATCGTTTGTACAGTTTATATATATCACACAGAGTAATTCTCAATGGCAAATTTATAGGTATGCGCTTGATGGGCTGTTATAGAGGCCTTATTCCAGCTCCAGGCATCAAGACATGTAATCTTTTATTCTTATTTTTTTTTTTTTCTCATCATCAGTAACTCTTCCTCATGTTCTTGCTCATGAAAAATCAACTCTTGACCTCATCGTCACATTCTACTTGAAACCCGACCTTGTTCTACCCATGTCACATCTATATATATCTACAGCCCAAATCGAGACGAAAGTCATACACTGATCCAGCTAGTCGCACGCCGGTTGCAGGAAACGCTCACTTCTACGGTCCTCTTCAGATCGATATTCTACTGAGACTAGCTGGAACCTCGCTGCCACATGCTAAAGGTGAAAAGAAAAATCAAAAGAGCAGGGGACACACTAGCCGCAAAGCTTCGTTTCCGCCGAGAAATGCTTGGATGGGTCGAAAGCCCGACGATAGGCCGATCGGCAAGAACCGCCAGGCACAATGAAAGACTGGAAACCTAGTCTCCTCTTACCCGAAGGAACCTTACTGCTGATGGGTTCTCTCGCCTCAGATGGTAACGGGGATCCTAAGCCACCGGTGGGCCCTTGCGCCTGAGCGGTCCGATTCGTTATGTAAGGTAGGCAACCACCCCCTCGTCTCCCTACTCCCGTTTTTCTTTCTCTCCATCCTCAACTCCAGGGGGGAAAGACTATAGAGTAGCGAAACAATGCGCCATTCGTCTTCCACCGCGTTGGTCGGCCTGCTTGCAGTGCTGGACCCTGTCTCCGCGCACCCCACTTCCAGTTCCAGCGCAGCCGCACCCGCAGACCCGACTGGAACCACCTTTCCGTCGGAATTCGACATAACACGCAGCTGGGCCAATCTGTCTCCGTACCAGGATGCTCCCGGATTCTCGGAGCCCAAGGGCATGCCGCGCGGGTGTGAACTGACGCAGGCGCACGTCCTCCACCGACATGCACAGCGGTACCCGACAGAAAGCGATCTGGACGGCGGGGGCATGGAGGCCTTCGCGAAGAAGCTCAAGAATTACGAGCACAAGCACCAGACCAGCAAGATTGGACACGGTCCGCTCTCCTTCCTGGACGACTGGGAGTACCTGTTGGGTGAGGATCTCCTGCTCCCGACGGGAGCGGCGACCGAGGCCACCTCGGGTGCCAACATCTGGTCGCGCTACGGCCGGTTGCTGTACCACGCCGGGCGAGGCCAGGCGGCGTGGGATGAGTCGTTGAATGTGTTCCCGAATGGGACAGACCGACCTAAGCCGATTTTCCGAACGACCGACCAGGCACGGATTTTGGAAAGTGCGCGGTGGTGGTTGAGTATGTCATTCTTTTTTCTTTCGTCATTACGAGTGTTAACACGGACAGGCGGATTCTTTGGCAACACCGGCGCCAACAACTCCTACTCGCAGTACGACTTGGTGATCACCCACGAAGGCAAGGGCATCAACAACAACACACTGGCCGCAGACCAAGCCTGTCCCGGCGATATCGAAGAGGGGTGAGCCAACCACAACCCCCATAACCCTCCCCAGGATACTAACAGAAGTAGCAACAATTCCGCGGAGCGGTTCATCCCCCGCTTCACCAAAGCGGCCATCGAGCGCCTGTCTCCGTACCTCCCCACAGACTTCGACCTCGACGACAGCGACATCCTCGCCATGCTGAACATGTGTCCGTACGAATACGCCGCCCTAGGCAGCTCCACCTTCTGCAGCCTCTTCACGGAACAAGAATGGCAAGACTTCGAGTACAACGTGGACCTCCAATTCTACGGCGACTACGGCTTCGGGTCACCGACCGGCCGGTCCCAAGGGATCGGCTACGTGCTGGAACTCGCCGCCCGACTGCAAAACCACCTCATCACCGCCCCAGAAACAAGCATCAACACCACGATCGACGGCAACCCGCACACGTTCCCGCTACCAGACACACAGCCGCTCTTCATGGACATGTCGCACGACAACGTCATCGTCGCCGTGCTAGCCGCCCTCGGCATCGACTACTTCCGGTACGGGCCCAAGGGCCTCCCAGACACAGTGTCTCACGCCGTGCCACGGACCTTCCGCCTCAACGAGGTCACCCCATTCGGGGCGCACCTGGTCTCCGAGATCTGGAGGTGTCCCGCGCAGGAGGAGCTAGAACTCGACGGCGCGATCTACAGGAACCCCGACCTAAGCAAGGAGGACACGCAGTCGTATATCCGGTTCGTGCTGAACGGGGCGCCTGTGCCGGTGAATGCGGTCAAGGGGTGTGAGGAGGGGACGAAGGGGGCGTTCTGTCCTGTTAAGGGGTTTGTGAGGGGTGTGCAGACACTGAAGGAGGAGGCGGACTTTGAGAAGGCTTGTTTTGGGAAATATCATGAGGGGGAGCAGGTTGGGGATGGGCGGCCTGAGTAGTTCTTTATACCTTCTTTCTTATTAGGGGGAGATGGACGTTTGCAATTCTGGAATAATATAATATAATATAATACGTAAATTGCTGAATTGAGATTGACTGACTAGTTTCAATTGGATTATACCAAATAGGACATAATATATATCCAGTGAGAAGCTCAATAGAAACACAGATAGACGACAAGATAGAGTTGGACCTGATGGTGGTCTCCAGACCTTCCAATATAAAACACCCTGTGAGGTCTCTCGATAGAAAGCACACAAAAGCACCATAACCTCAATAGCACCAATAGTTGCCAAGTCTGGAAAAGATGGTTATATCGGGATAAGATCACACCAAGCCTTGTCCCCACAGTACTCCGGACAAGAGTCTTATCAATCCACCAACAATAGCTGATAGCCAAACTGTGCATCGTTCGTGCCTGTAGAAGGTTCATCGTATTTATACAGCTGTTTATAACACGAGGCCAGCTGTGAGAAGCGGTGTGACTTTAGAGAGTTGAAGAGTAGGCTCGCGTAGTCTCCGAGGCGTAGAGGGAGGTTGCCTTTCGAGAACTTTCGCTGTTCAGAATATCGTGTCCTTCATATAATCGTAGGTATTCAAAGTGGCATGGCATGTGAGCGTTGAAGGGTCGACCCTCGTAATCTTCGAGGTGTAGAGGAATGGTTTTTGGCAGAGATGTGTCTGCCCACGATTTTGGATCTTTGCACAATCGTGAATAAAGATGTCGCCACGAAATCTCTTTCAACAAAGGGCAAACCATATATGACCGTAGTCATATCAGTGGCTTTCCAATACTATATATGTAGAGGTACCACACATATATAGGTATCCCTCATATGTATGAGGTCAAAAAAGCCAACTATCAAGGCGGAGTCAATGGCGGAGTAGGAGGATCAAGTCCACGAAACGGGGGAGTAGCCGGAGGAGTAGGAGGATCCATCTGTGGAACTATGCGCCCTGAAAAGCTCGGCCCGAGAACAACAACAGCAATGTTGACAGCATGGAATGATTCAGTTAGTCTAGGCAGATCATCATCTGCTGACAGATCGTCTTCAGCCGCGCTGGCAGGCGTTTCACTGTCTTGCTGTGATTGAGAGCCTGATGATGTGTCAGGATTGACATTGTCACTCGGTGAGTGGACATCACTGGGAGATCTGTTTGGCTGAGCAGAAGATTCTGAATCTGGTGAATCAATGGGGGCTTCATTTGGCGTCCCGGGGGGGACAGGAGGTACGTCCCTCGAGTAGCTCTGCGTTTCCGAAGCAGTAGAAGAGCTAAATTCATTTGGAGTGCCGGGAGGAGCAGGAGGTACATATCCCGAGTCGCTCTGTGTCTCCAAGGCAGTAGGAGGGCTATATATGTTCGGCGTACCGAAGGGGACAGGAGGTACATCTCCCCGGTAGCTCAGTGTCTCCGAAGCAGTAGGAGGGCTATATTCAATCGGTGTCCCAGGAGGAGCAGGAGGTACACCCCACGAGTAGCTCTGCGTTTCCGAAACAGTGAGATGGCTATCATTGCTTTGAGAGCGGGTGTTGGTGCAGGGTATAGGGATGGAGGTGGTTTGATTTTCTGGGTGGAAGGTTGGAATTGATGGGTAGGGCATGATGAGTAGGTAAATGTGAGGGAGGCTATGTGGGTTGGGATGTTTGGATGTGAGATGGATGAGCTGGGTGAGCAGAGGATGATGCCCACGGGTACAAGATAGATGAGATGAGGACGGAAGACAGAGAGCAGATGATGAAGGACAGAAAGTGAGAAGGGATATTGAGGGCAGAAGATGAGGATAGGAGATGAGGATATAGATGAAGAACAGAAGACCAAGGGTAGAAGATGAGGGTAGAGACGAAGGACAGGATACGAAGACAAGGTATGAGGACAGGAGATGAAGATAGAAGATGAAGAAGCGACATAAAGAATACACCAGGTACCTACACTACAATGAGACAATCCACCACTCATTCCTACATCACATCAACAACCCCCTACGTAGCAAAGTTTTAACCCGTATAAGGCAGCTACAACCATGACTTCAGCATGACCAGCGGGGCCACGGAAGCCTACGCAAGCACTCAATAGGTATTAGGGTTCAAATCCGTGGTATTAAACATATCGTCACACATGGTAATGGGTATGGCAATGGCTATGGCTATATCAAAACAGGAGTTGCGGAAAGGGTATCTAGCAGGTAGAGGTGCCATGGTATAGATTAGTTGACTGAGCCACGTCTATTGCAGCGGGTCACACATTAAGTCGGAAATGGAAAGGAGTGCAAAAAGTTAGCTCCGTCGGATTGATCCCGACCAGGCCTGCCGTGGTAGCGGGTCGTAATGATAGGCTCTGGGGAGAACGAGTGAGCCGGGCGATACCGGGGAGATTGTAACAAAAGAGATAGGCGTGTGTGCGTATGTAGGTGTGGGTAGGTGGTGTGAATGTATGGGTAGGTGGTTGCGTTGAAGGCAGACGAGACGACAATAGAATAATAATGCGTATCAAGCCTCGTCGTGATCGTCAAATGATTCCGTATCGGAAATGGTCGGTTCGTCGGCGTTGGACGGGCTCAGCAGTCCCTGCGCACCTTCCCCAACCTCGTACAGTTCTTCAGGCGAGAGGACTCTCCCTCCCAGCTTGACGTCGTTGACGTGCACGCTATATTCGAGGGCTCTCTTGCCCTCCTTGATCAGATCTTCCGTCCACCCCAGACACCGCTTCAGGCTTTGGTTCATCTTCTGACTGTCGCCCAGCAGCTCTTGGTGCTTCGCTAGATCGACAAAGAAGTGTTTTTCGTCTTGAGGGCGGTGTCGCGCGTCGTGGTCCGCCAAGGAGCCCGGGCTCATCACGCCTTCATCCGGCATAGACTCCTCGTCGCTAGACTCGGAGAGGTCGTCTGGAGACCGGACGGAGGACAGCTCGCTGCCCTCGTCCACCTCGGCCATGACCCCCAGAGAAGCCCCCGACACCGAGCGCGTCGACGGCGCCATGGAGAGACGGCCTGAGCGGCTGAGACGGCGGTAGCGTCGTAGCTCCGCATGCTGCTTGCGCATTTCGCGCTCCAGCGTCCGGTTGATGGCCAGGAGCGAGGAGTTGCTGATCTCCAGGTCCATGATCTTCCGTCCGATTCGGGCGTTGCCCACCGCGTCGTTCGGCCCACTGCTGTCCGACTTCTGGGGGCTTTGTGGCGACGCATGGGTGTCGACCGAGGCTGTGGATCCATTACTCAAGATCCGAGGTCGCCCTCCGGGCAGGGGCTCCGACGCCAGGGCGTCCGTGTCGACGCGGGGATTCGATGGCGACACGATGATGGGGCTGGGGCGCAGGCCCTCCCGCGGGGAAGTACCACTCGTGCCCGAGTCCAAGCTGGACGATTTCAAATGTCTGATGGGGTGAGGTCGAGCCAGATGGCTTAAGGGGGGCCCTTGCATCGGCCCCACCGGGTCACACTCATCATGCGAGCTGGTTTGCGAGGTAAAGCTGTCGGACAGTCGCAGGTTCGACTCCAGCTGGGGGGAACGCAGTCGGGGGGAGGGGCACGGCGGTGGTCCATTCACCACGGAACGCGACTGGCCCGTGGAAATCGAGCGCCGTTTCACCACGGGTAAGGTTGACGCCTGTTCCTCCCCCGACGGACGCTCCTGTTTACCGTTGGCATATATAAACGTGGCGGGGGAGGCCGGTTTGGGGGGTACCCGGGGCCGCGGCTCGACCTCGGCGGGGTGCGTCGATCGCGCGTCCGAGGCATGGAAGAACCGGGGAGACGAATGCTCCGACACTGAGCTTGGTCGCGAATTTTGTTGCGAGTCCGCCGTCAGCGTCTTGGCCCTGCCTGTCCTTGCGGGTTCCAGTCGACCGGCCGCCCGCACCGGACTCCTATCTGCTCGATACCCCGGATTGGAGGCATGAGATATGGTCGAGTTTGCCAACGAGGGCTGCGGCGAGAACGGTCGCCCAGAGGGATTATATCCCGGCGAGGAACCACCATCGCGCCTACTAGCCCGCGAGCCCGATCGCGGGGTGATATTGGCATTCAGGAAGGCCGGGTCCGTCTCCTGTCTGGAGGGGGCGGATGAGGGGTATTGTTCGGAGGGGATCAAGCGTTTGGGAGTTCGATAGCCCCCCGGAGAGGCTAATTTCGGAGTCAAGGGCGTCAAGGAGGCTTTGGTGGATCGATGAAAGGCGGCACTGAGGGTTGGCGTGAAGGGTTTGGCGAGAGGGGGGGTTTGTTTATCGGAGGTCATAGTTGCGGGATCGGGCAGGATGACTTATGGCATTGCGTCCGGGGACCAAGATCTGCAAGCATGATGACACCCGCGGGGGGTTTTCAATAGTTGGAAGATCCAAGTCAGGAATGAGGGGAAATACTAGCAGGAAGAGAGACGAAGATAGTTTTCTTCAGCAGGATTTGGCGATTTGGATTTCCTGCCAAAACATTGGGGGCCCGATCGGGACTAGTGTGGGTTGACCGCAACTACATTCTTTGCTCATTCTCCTTCTTCTTCAGGGTCATTCTTGTGGGTGTATTTTCATTATCGTTGTGTTGGATATATATAGATCATTTACCTCTTACTATCACTTTTGTTTCTATTTAAATCCGAGGTATATTGAGTCTGTTGAGAAGCATCCCTTTCTTCCGACGTTTGATTATCGTCGCCCGTTGTTTTAGGCCGCTCCACTTCCCCTATTGTGCTGGACGGGATGATCAGGCAATGATCATTCCACCGTCCTGACGGTACCAAGGCTTATACTGTAGTTATCTGTACAATCTGAATGGTCTCGTTGGATTCTAGTTCGTAATTGCAAAGGCTTTGCCTCGGTATATTATGTACATGTGGTGACATATGCAGTCAGAAAAATAGCCGTTTCTGCCGTGGGTCCGGAGTTTCATGAGACGTCGGTTTTCGCTTCCGCGGTTTGGACGGCCCCGGGGTCGGGGTTGGGGTTGGGTCCTGTGACGCCCCCTGGACAGCCTCTTTGATGGTCTGCTTCGACAGGCAGTGGTCGACGTGGTCGTTGAAGACCTTGTCGTCCGCCAGCTGCGGTCTGTCGCACACGGGACAGTCCCAGTAGACCGGGGCGGGCTCCTCGGGTTGGGCCACGGCGGGTTCGGACACCTCCTGGCTGAGTTGTTCGAGGTCGTCCAGGTCGGCTTGGAGTTCCTGCCGGGCGGCTCGTTCGAACGCCTCTTCGGCGCCGATCTCCTGGTCGCCTGGGGGGTCGACCGCGGCGTCGACGGGGGGCTTGGGCCGGATCGTGCCGAAAAAGTCGATGCCGACTTTCTTCGTGCTCACCAGGTTCGTACAGCGCAGCCCCAGCAGTCGCAGCTTCAGGTTCGGCATCTCCCGCTCCAGCTTTTCCAGCATGGGCAGGGAGAACGTGTAGAGGTCTTTGGCGTGGAACACGGCCCGCGAGGGCTGGCACTGTCGGGACAGCACCTCGAACGTAGCGAGTTTAACCTTGAGAACCAGCGTCCGACCCTTGAACTGCGTGCGGGCCAGGTCCTTCTCCAGCTCCTGCGCGATCATCCAGAGCTTATCCCGGAATTCCTGTTTGTTCCCGATCTCGTGAAACGTGGTTTCCGTGCCGACGCTCTTGCGCTCGTAGTTCTCGACGGGCTGGATTTTCGTCCGCCCCAGACCCAGGTAGCATTGCGCCAGGAAGTAAAACGCCTTTTCCCCGAACAGCTTGGCCAGCAACGCCCGATGGGGATAAATATCTCCACAGGTCTTGATCCCGATCGCGTCGAGCTCTCGCTCAAACACCCGACCAACACCGTTCACCTTGCGCACAGGCAGTTCGCGCATGAACTCCATGATTGCGTCACGCTCGTTCGGGACCCGAAACTGGCCGTTTGGCTTATTGCGGTTCGAGCAGATTTTAGCAATCTTCCCATTAGCAGCAATACCAGCCGACACAGAGATCTTCGTCTGTTCCAGGACCTCAGCGCGCATGCGCTCAACAACCTCCTCGGGACCACGCCCATTCTCCGCACAGTAAGACGTAATATTTAGGTACGCCTCGTCGATACTAGCGCTCTCAAACAGCGGATCATACTGCGCAAACACAGCGCGGATCTCCGCCGCCTTGGCGGAATACTTCTCGTGATTTTGAGGCAGACACACCAGCTGCGGACAGAGCTTCATCGCCACGAAGGACGCCATGCCGCTGCGGCAGCCGAACTTGCGCGCCTCGTAGTTGCACGTCGTGAGCACGCCCTTGCCTACCGCGAACGGGACATGTTTGAGCTCCGGGCGGTCGAGCTCCTCGACGGCAGCGAAGAACGCGTCGCAGTCGACGTGGACGACATACTGGGAGAGGTCGCGAGTGAGCTCCAGCTCGGCGAGGAGCTGGTCTGCTTTACGCCGGTCGTGGGTCAGATCCTGCTTCTCGAAGCGGGCTTTCTCTTTCAGAATGCGCGAAATCTTGTCCGTCAAGATCCGGTCGCGGTCCTGCTCATGGTTGAAGAACTTGGACCCCTTAGACGCATTGTAGATAATCTCCGAAACCTTCTGCTGATCGACGGCATCCTGACCGGCTTTGGTGAGCGACGGGCCCAGCAGGTGGTATTTCAGCGTTTTGTAGTCGTCCGCATTCTCATCTTCCGGCTTTTCCGGGATCTCGCTTTTGGACTCCTCGGATGGCTCCATCCGGAGAGCAGTATATACATCGGTGGGTGGTGTGCATTGGAACCTCCATGGTTCAATGGTCTTTCCCAACCAGGCAGCATTGAGACGCCACGGCACGTGACTCCGCGTCGCGGGCCGCGCACGTGCCACGGGTGTCATCTGCGACGGTCGGCGTGAACCATACCAGTAATGTCCTGCGTTGCTGCGCTGACTGCCCCTCATGTGGATTCTAGACTCGGAGGGTGACTTTTTGCAGGGTGGGCATGATATTCTCCAACGAAAGGGGTGATTTCTGACTCTATCTAGGAAAGAGGGTGTGGTTGAAACCCGGGAAGAAGTATCTCTTTGGCCGCAGCAAGCAAGATGACGGTAGGTGCAGCAGCTACTAGGCCGAGCTACGCATGTCGAATGGTGCGTACTGATTCCATGGTAGTGCGACACGCCATTGACCACAATTCAATCTCGCGAAAACACTTGATCATCGAGGTGTCACCGATTGACGAAACCGACCGGGTACGTGGCCCTCGGAAGCGACGCGAGCCGTGCTAACTGCGCAGTCCGACATCCATGCGAGATCGAAGCTTACCGTGACGGATCTGAAGTCGAAAGTGGGCACCACTGTTGATGGGGAGGCGATAAAAGGGGAGAGCAGGACGCTGGGGGATGATGAACACACCGTTAGGCTGGGGAGGTACAAGCATGTCTTGCGGTATGGACTCTCAATTCTCTACATGATTGACGAACATCTATTAACGGGCTCCATGTAGATTAAAATGGCAGCCAACAGTGCTTAGCTTCTCCTTCTCCTCCAAAGAACTCAAAGCGAAAGACCCCCTCGCCCACGTCCGCTCGCGGCTCGAAGACCTAGACATCAAGACCATCATCCCGTTCGTCGTCGGCTCCACTACGCACGTCGTGCAGAATAAGCGCAATACGGCAAAGGGGCTACAAGCGCTGGTCAATGGGAAATACATCGTCAAGGAGACATTTATAGATGCACTGGTGTACGCCGCGACGCCCAGCGATCTGGACAATCTGGAGTCGCTGTCGCCGTTGGAGGCGGACTTTGACTCCGCATGGCCGGACGCGATGGAGCATCTTCCTGCGCCGGGAAAGGAAGCCGTTGTCCGTCCGACCGAGGCGTTCGTGCCGAATCCTGACCGGATCAATGTGTTTGAAGGGTACACGTTCGTTTTCGGTGATCCGGGGCAGTTCGAGAACCTGCAGGCTTTCATCACCGAGGGGCATGGGAGGCCTTTGCTATACCCGATTGAAAATGGCGTCACGACGGCAGAGGAAATTGTGCATTTTATGGAAGAGGCAGCTGGACCCAATGGGCTAGGAAGCCAGCGGGATGGTCCTGGGGGGGTAGTTCACGTTCGATACCATGCCAAGGGACGCTACGAAGACTGGTCCATCGAGCTCAGCAACCAGGTAGCGCTGAAAACGGACCAGCGCGTTATTGAGCAGAGTGAGTTCCTGGATGCTATTCTCGCCAACAACGCCGCTCCGCTGTGTCGCACCCTGCCGGTTTCCTCGCCGCATGAGGGCGCCACCGCGGAGAGGCTCTCTACGTCGGCCTCAAACTCGACTACGCCAGCCCCAAACTCGACTACGCCAGCCCCAATTTCGACTACGCCAGCCCCAAACTCGAATACGCCAGCCCCGAACTCCAATACCCCCGATCTGGCCGACTCCCAGCCGTCGGAGGAGCCGAGTCAGCCAAAAGCCAAAGTCAAACGGTCCCGCAACTACGTCAGCAAGATGAAGACGTTTGACGACGGGTTCGACATCAATTCCATCCCGGCGTATGCACCCGAGGACGACGACCCGGAGTCCCTTCCGCCAATGGCGACGGAGGCGGAGCCGGAGGCGGAATCAGAGCCGATGGAGGTGACTCAGCCGGCTGATAGTCTCCAGGAAGAGGAAGATGTCGTGTCTAGCCTGCTTCCGGGCGCGGCGGCGATGAAGCGTCGACGGGCAGAGACGGTGCAGCGGTCCACTAGCGACCCTTCCCAACAGGTCGAGAAAACGGAACCCAAGGCGAAGCGACAGAAGCTGGACGTGCTGGACGCGGCGCGACGGCATCGCGAGGCGGAAGAGAACGCTCGTCGGGAGGAAGAGGAAGCGTCGCATCGGGATACACTAGAAGACGCGGACGTGGAGAAGCTGAAAGGGCTTGCCATCGTGGAAGAGATGGAGATGCCTTCGAGGAGGACGACGGACGAGGATGACCGATGGGACGAGCGATGGAATGGGCGGAAGAATTTCAAGAAGTTCCGGCGAAAGGGAGACCGCAATCAACGCTCTCGGATCCAGACTCTGATTGTGCCGTTGGAAGAGGTAACCCGCCAGGATTTCGGGATCGGGGAGCAGCACTGGGTCAGTCGGCGGCCGTCGCCGGAGGGCAACCGACCCGAGCGGAGCATTCCAACCGAGCCTGTCGACGTGGACGACCGAAGCGAGATGCGAGTCCAGTCCACCGGGCGGACTGCGTCCGAGACTCCCGCTCGGAGTCAACCTCGGAGCCAGAAACGCGTGCGGGACGAGTCCGGGTCGGATAGTGACGAAGAGACGCGGTTTCGATTTCGGCGACGACGATAGTCTGCCGTCTTGGGTGTTTCTCGCGTTGAGATCTACTCCGTACATCCAGATGGACTATTGAATGTAAAGTACACCCGCCCTGGTGGTGGGGATCAATAAACCTCATCCTTACCGTGATGGATCCAGCGGGTCCGCCCGGCGGGACCAAGACTATGTTAACTAGTCGCCGCCAATAGTCAGTAAGGTTATCGGGGATCTCCTTGATTTGGATTCTTCCCCACTGGCTCTGGATGATCGAGTAGTCTGATCCGGTCCTGGAATCAGGTTGGATCCCAGATGAGTACCAATGGTCTGTCAACACAGGGAGTGGATCCTGGGGGGAGCGAACCAGGATCGACAGTGGAATTCCTGATCGTCAGTTTCGTTGCGGCCCAAATCGAAGGAGGGGGAAAGGGATTATTGAATGTCCAGGAGATCATTGAAGGGGGAATATTGGGAGATGGAACTGAGGTGTCAGATAGAAACCATCCAGGGAAATCAATGCTGGGGAGATCAAGGGGAAGAAAAAGAATCCCGAAATAATCAAGATGAATCGATCGGCTGAGAAGGGAAATTGGTCACCTGTTCCTTTTTCTTTCTTTCTTCTTTTCTCTTCTCTCTTTTCTCTCTTTCTCTTTCTCTTTCTTCTATTTCATCTTCATCTTTCCACTTTCTATCCTCCTCTCTCTCTCGCCTGGTTGCGACATCTCTCTTCTTCTTTCCTCTCTCTTCTCTCTCTCTCTCTCTCCCTCCTCTTTCCTTTCTCTTTCTCTCCATCATTCCAGCCTGACGGCCTAATGCTGGACACGCCATGGACCACGCTGGCCGCGCTTAGTCCGTCGTCATTCTTATCTCTCTCGCTTCTCTTTTAACTCTCTTCCTCTGTTGTATCCTCTCTCTCTCTCCTCTCTCTCCCCCACAATCTCAATTCAATGGAGTCCCTATCGCGCCAGATGGAAATCCCCCCCATGATCTCCACCCTCCCTCCGCCCCGCCCCGTCTCCGTCAACTCCCTCGCCAGAGTCTCTACCGTCGCCTCCATTCCCTTCTCCAAGACCACCCGCAGCACCAGTGCCGAAATTCAGCTTCCGGATGGCCTGCTGCCCGATCTCCCTGACCAGCCGGCCTGTCAGGACCCCGAGGATCCCGTCGTGGATGGCCCCATGGTCCATCCCGATGAGGAACCCAGCCTAGATGCCGCCCCACGTCCCTCCCGTCCCGAGATCCAGTTCGAGAATCTACCCATCGAGATCCACGAGGCCGTCTTGGACTACCTCTTCGGTGAACGCACCTCCGCCTACACCGCTGCGGGGCCCGGAAAATCCACCACGCGAACCTGGAACAAGTCCCTGCGACACCCCCGACGCAAAGTCTTGTCTAATCTGTCCCTCATCTGTCCCGTATGGCGCTGGCTGGTCCAGAGTCGGATTTATCGCCATAGTACGCATCCCTCTTTCCCTCTTCTTCTTCTTCTTCTTCTCTCTCTCTCTCTCTCTCTCAAATAGATTTATCTTACTGATAATCCCTAGTCAAAATCAAAGGCACCACCGACGAACTGGCCGAGAGCGCCAGATGGTTCCAATCCCATCCCTACTTGACCCCCTACGTCCGCCACGTTGAATTCTGGATCCCCGTCTGGGGCAAGCGGGTCGCCAAAACTCCCGCCCACCACGCCCCCGCCCGACGGCATGTGATGGAGCACAACGGGTTGGCCGAGGTGGCAGCCCTGCAAACCACCGTCGCCTGGGAGGACACCGACGGCCACAACGAGTACAAGTATCACTACTCCAGCCAGAATGCCACCCTGGAAGAGATCCTGCGCCACGTGCAGACATCCTTTCCCGACGCCTGTCTGTTGACCCTGGAGGGCGGCCACTGTAAGCGCCCGCCCATGGTCCGTCACTTTCGCGACGACCCCACCGGCCAGTCCGCCGGGCGGCGGCTGCCGGTGCTCCCGGGCATCCAGACCCTGGTCATGCGGGGCGCGTGGAACATCATGCGCGAGTACCGCCACTGGAACGGTCTGTCGCTGGCGTTGCCCGGCGTCCGCGAGTGGCACTGCGGATACGCCAAGCCCAAGATCGAGGGATACGAGACGGTCGCACACATCCTGCGTAGACTCCCGTCCGCGCTGGTCCACATGAACATCACCTTGGAGGGTTTCCACAACAAGGACACCTCCCAATCCGGCTGGCTGGGCGACGGCATCAACCCGCCGCATCTCTGCCGCCTGCTCGGGGAGGTTGCGCCCCAGCTAGAGTCGCTGGCCTTCACGGGGAAGGTCTGCGCCGGTCTGTTCCGCGCGATGCGGACCGCCGCCAGCACATCCCCCTCCAAGTCACGGCTGAAGACGGTCGACTTTGTCGTCAAGAACTGCTGTCGCGAGAAACGCACCGCACCGGGGCTCCCATTCTTCGACGACTTCTCCGGGATCACAAACCTCAACTTCATCCACTCCTTCGAGAAGCTCGTCGTCGGCGCCGTGCACAGCCTCCAAGTCCACCCCGCCCTCGATTACCTCCGGATCCGCTTCATCGACCTCGACTCGGCCTGCCCACCCCTCAACCCCTACTTCCAACTAATCGGCACCCAATGCACAGGCCTCTGGAGCGAACACATCCTCGAAACACTACACGACGCCCGCCCCGAAGCCTACTTCGCCGAGCTCGCCGACGGCATCTACCCGCAGTACGGACCCAACCGACAGATCGTAGGCGCCGTATACCCGCGCACCCGACCGTTGAGCATCCACGCACGAACGTATAAGATTATTGCGGACGTATCTAAGGCTTAGACCATAAGACAAGAGACAGCATGTATGGATCGATCTATCGATACGATGTTATGATAATATGATTACTTATTTTTTTTCCTTGTGCTTATCTCGCTTAGTTGTAACTCATTTCGTGTTGACTTGTAGTGTAAGATATAGAGTCCCTTGGTAGAACAGTAAGCGTCCTAACTTCTGTAGGTTGCATGGTAGGTATACTCCAAGTGACCCGCCAAGTGGGTCACGGTCACCCCAGATCCACTCTCCATCACCAGACTTCTTTAAGCTCAGTGGTCAATGGTGACAATTCCAGACCCGCTGTACCATCCTTCCATCCTTATAATGTAGACTCTACAGTGTAGGGTGTAAACAAGGAACCGGGTTGCCTAAGGCTAGGCTTTAGGCAGATTATCACTTCCATCATCGTGTCATGTAACAGTGACAAGAATCATGAACATGAAAGGACAGTAAAGTCTGTGGAAGATATCACGGGAATAGACGTAGGATGGACTTGCTGTTGGGGTTAGGTAGATATATATATACACATGTCACAGGGACCGGATGTGTTTGTAGAGAGGTTTTGGTGTTTGGGTCTACGTCTACTTCCTACTGGGCTGGTAGTGTAGAATAGGAACGCATCATGTACTATATATATCTGTGAGATATTATTAGTAGATGATACTTGTCTAGATGGATGGATTGTCACACCATGCTCTTTTTATACTCCTTTTACTACTAATATATACACCATATCTCTTTATCATAATAATACATGTCAATCTATATACACTCGCAAAAATACATAAAACAGCACCCAACCCAATAGTTAGTATCAAACTACTCCACCCTCCCCTTAGCCTTAACCCTCCCCTCAGTCTGCACAGACAAACACCCCACATCAGAAACAATAATGCCCAAAATCCAACAGTTCACCGCAAAGAACCCCAAGCTAGCGAGGAACAAACCCGGGACAAAGCTCGACTGGCCCAGGAATTCGAGGTTGTAGCCTTGTTGGAGCCAGAGGGCCTGGGCTCTGTTAGTATTGGACGGCTTCATACCGAGTAGCTTGACTGTGAAGGGGAAGGAAAGGAGAAGGGGGGATACCTGAGAAACAACCCATAACACTGCGACGGTTACGCCTCGTCTGGGCTGGCGGAGGAGGGACGACCGTGGGAGGTAGAATGGTAGGAAGATTAGATACCATAGGAAGTACTGCCCCCATTAGCATAGCACTATACTGAGACCTGACCCAGAGATCAAATCAGAGAAAGAGGAGAAAAAACATACCTGACTCGTACAAACCTTGTTAAACGTCACAAAAGCAAAAGTCTGCGCCAGCATCGTCCCAGCCAAACACCTCTTCCCCAACACAAGCGGAATAACCAACACACTCAACAGTAACTGCGGCACAAACGCCAGCGACTCGAACCTCCACCCGGTCTGCACATCCCCTGCAGCAACCAAATACAGCAGCGAGCTGTAGGGGGAGAAGTTATGCCGGTGGTCGATGCGCGACAGATGGTGCAGGTAGGTGTGTTGCAGGAAGGGTTCTCCGTAGAGGAGGTACATGGTTATGTTGAGTGCGGTGAAGGTGGTGAGGGCTGCGAGGCCGAGGCGGATGCGCGCGGGTGTGATGAATGATATGAGTTTGGCTCCTATACTACCACTACCATTGCCGGATGGAGTAGTAGTGGTAGTGGTAGTAGCAGACACCGCACGCTCACGATCCAGCCACCAAACAATAGAAGCAGCATAAACAAACGGATAAATCTTCAAATGAACGGCAAGCCCAAGCAGCACACCCGCCAAGACAACCCTCCGACTCAGCGCCGCACATAGTAGCGCAACGACCAAAACGCAGAGCAAGCCCTCGGAGCTCCCACGCGTGCTGATATTAGCAACCATAGGATTGAGCAACCACACGGAAGCGTATTTAAGCGCACGGGCAGGCTCCATGCCATAGCTCGACACAAGGCTCCTGGCAATCAGCCATCCGGCGAGGACATCAGACAGCGCAAACAAGACCTTGCCGAACGCGAAGAAGAAAGGCCCCGGCGCGGCCGTCGGGACGAGCAGCCATGCTAGCAGCGGCGTGTAGCGGTACGTGTCGCGGGCGTAGGGCGACTCGCCGCGAGCGACATACCGCGCTGCGTCTGTGAAGACGAGATAGTCGATGTCGGTGTATTTGACAGCCGAGTGGGCGTCTTGCCAGGCGCCGTAGATCAGGAGAGTTAGGCGGAGGGCGATGGCCGCGCCGTAGATGAGGGATGGTCGGTGGAATACCGATGCCATTTTCCTATCTGAGTACTATTGGTCGATTGAGAGGGGTGATAGTAGGACCATTAGATCTAGGTGTCAACTGGTCCATGGATGTGTCGCCAAAGTGATGCGAGGATCAACATGAAGCGAAACGTGACGTTTGGCGATCGGTGGGAGGCTGACTCAGCGTCACTCTATTGCCTAATCGGGTCTATATTTAACTGCCTACTATAGCCATGTCAAAATAGATATAGATATATCGTCACAGTAGGAATGAACAATCATATAACCAGATATGGATACAATAATAAATTCTGTACTTATATACAATCCCGCCATCCCTAATCCTACCCCCCCTCCATCCCACCAAAGTCACTCCAAATGCATCACAACAAGAAAATAGTGAAAACAGCAATTCAATAGGTGCAAAAGAAGGACAAATAAATAGATGTTATTGTCAAAACCCGGCACATCAATGGCACCGGGGGAAAAGAACGAGTGAAAGAATTGAAAGTATCCCGAAAGTGGGAACCAAAGCTCCCTCCAACCACCAGGGTGGATCATCCATAGAAGGATACAGGGTTGGCGAAGTAGGCCGACTCAGAATTGACAGGCCCGCCAAAG